AGATGAACATGGTACCTTCAGACGTTTGGAAATTGCTCCCAAGGATGAACCAGACTTGTGGAGGTCTACAATTTTCTTTCTGAGGACTTGGCTAATTTCTTTTGATTTTCCCATGATGTCAAGTAAAGAGGAACTTAGTTTGAAGGTAGGCCTTGAAATACATCCACAGGTACACCTCCAATTGACTCAAATTATGTCAATTAGGCTATCAGAAGCTTCTACAGCCAATATATCATTTTCTGGAATTTTCCAAGCTGTTTAAACTTAGTGTATGTAAACTTCTGACCCACTGGAATTGTGATACAGTGAATTATAAATGAAATAATCTGTCTGTAAACAATTGTTGGAAAAATTACTTGTGTCATGCACAAAGTAGATGTCCTAACCGACTTGCCAAAACTATAGTTTGTTAAGAAGAAATTTGTGGAGTGGTTCAAAAACAAGTTTTAATGACTCCAACCTAAGTGTATGTAAACTTCCGACATGTTCCCCATGTGTGTAAAATGCTTCAGGGCAGCAAAACAACTAAAATAGCACCAGCTGTCACAGAGGAGAACAACCACATTGTTTTTTTTAGTGGTAAATGCTTTACTTGTAATAATTGTTTAACTGAGTGATATTATGTTTTCATAGTGTTGTGGACCAGGTTAGAGTTAGTAGATAAGTGTCTTGGTGCCACAGAGTCTGCATTCCGTTATGTCAAAGGAGATTACTGATGTTTATGATAGCATGATTGATGGACAGGTTATACTGACTTGGGGTAAAGGGTATTAACATCAAAGAAGGGAGTGCCCATTGATGGTTAACAGATGTGGGTGAAGAAACAGAGTGTATATAAGCTGAGAGAATGTCTTTGTTCTGTAGTTCGGTATAGCAAGAGGCAGAGCTCTGTCCTTCTGTTATAACAAACCATGATACCTATTAAATATTAAATGAACTTCCCAGCTAAGTGTTAAATATTATGGAGGACTAAAAGTGCCACAATTAAATAAATAAATACACCATTAAATAATTACTTAAATGTGTCATTAATTAATTCAAATTATAATTAAATACATAAATGTGTAATTAAATGTATCATTAATTAATTCAAATACCGATTCATTTTATGTAAAATACATATATAATTATTTCACTATTTACATTTACATTTCATGATCCTGCATTGCAGTGATTCATGAATTACTTAAAACTGTCAAACTGACCCATCAAAGTCAGTGGGCGGGGGCTAACGTGAATCTAGTCTGATCCATTGCTTTGGTCTGAAGTAGAGTAGGCCAACCTGGATAGAGACAATGGAGGATCTCCGTGAACTTTCCAGGGAGTTGGTTAGAGACATTTTAAACTTAGCAGAGGATGTAGAAGCAGGACCTGCTGACATTATCCGGAATTGATTTGTCTTGGCTTGATGCAGAGGGTAACCAATCAGGCGTTAGGTTCCGCCTACCAACTTTTGATGGGTCAGTTTGACAGTTTTAAGTAATTCAGGAAGCACTCCAACGCAGGACCATGAAATGTAAATGTAAATAGTGAAATTATTATATATGTATTTTACATAAAATGAATCGGTATTTGAATTAATTAATGACACATTTAATAACACATTTATGTATTTAATTCTAATTTTAATTAATTAATGACACATTTAAGTAATTATTTAATGGTGTATTTATTTATTTAATTGTGGCACTTTTAGTCCTCCATAAAATATCTCCTTGCATCATGAATTACTTGATACCCTAGAAACTCATCATAACAGATTGGCATCTAAACGAACAGGATGCAGTTTACAGCCGAACTAACAGGTATGCAGACTCTCATTTTTTTTGATTATGTCAAATTCTGCTTATCTTTGGTGAAGCTGAGCTGTAACAAACTTTTAAAATTCAATATTTTAAAGGGGGACGATGAGTGATATTTAGTTATTTAGTGAGATGTAAGGAGAATATCAAATTGGACAATGACATGGTGCTTTGATTCAAAATGGGGTGTGTTTAAAGTACTGAGTAAAGGCAACAGAGGAGAAACGGGTGGGCGCAAGTCACCCTTAATGATAAAACATTATAAAGAGAGTGGGCTCAGGGCATCCTTGATGTAAGATACATCATAAAGAGAATGGTTGTTATTCTCTTAATGTAAAAGTACATTATATAAGAGAGTGGGCGCAGGGCATCCTTGATTTAAGATACATCATAAAGAGAATGGGTGTTATTTCTTTAATGTAAAAGTACATTATAAAAGAGATTGAGTATTCCCATAGTGTGGAAGACATTATAAAATAATAGGTTACAGACCTTTTTGATGTGGTAAATCATCATAAACAGAAGTGTAACACCCTGGCTCTGGGACTCTATATGTTGAGCCAGGGAGTGTTCTTTCATTGTGGTGTATTTCTATGTTGGGAGTTCTAGGTTGTTTATTTCTAGGTTGGCCTGAGTGACTCCCAATCAGAGGCAACGAGTGTCAGCTGTGGCTGGTTGTCTCTGATTGGGAGCCATATTTATACTGTCTGTTTTTCCCTTTGTGTTTGTGGGTTCTTGTTCCGTGTTGGTCTATGTTACCTAGGACGTTACGAGTCGTTTGTTGTTTTTGTTTACTGTCCGTGTTTATCGCTAATGATAAATAAACATGTTCGTTCATCACGCTGCGCCTTGGTCCTCCTCTCTTAACGACGATCGTGACAAGAAGAGAGAATTAGTCCCTTGTTAAGTACTCAAAATTGCCAGGAAAGGGAGCCAATATATTGAATCATAGCACCAAAACGACAAATAGGCAAACTACATTTTTATACAGAATGGGGATTTGATTTAAGTATTTAATTACTAATATTGCATGAACTAATAGCAGTAATGAATGGCCAGCTTAGTAGACCGGTATCTGGAAATACATTCACCATTAAAAATAAAGCAGAGCTTCATTTAACTCGAAGAGAGAAACAGGAAATAACTAAATTATTACAGGCAAATCCGCATTTAGAATAAGTATTTTGTAAAGTAATGTAAATTAAGTAAATTAGGGTTTTTCAATGTGGGACCATACCTTGGTGATTTATCAGCATGGATAGATAATGAGTAAGGTTTTTTTTTTTAAGGGATAAGTTACAGATTAGCGCGAAAATATATAATTGACAATATTGTCTTAAGCAACACGAAATGGGATATACATTATATGAAAGAGGCATATAAAGCATGCGATTTAATGAGCGCACGATGGCAAGGAAATATAAGTATTAAGGAAATAAGTCAGCTAACGAAGTTAAGTAATTGAATGGGACAACATGGGCTATTTTAGGAACAAAGAGCAGAGAGTAATTTGAATCTGAAGGGTGCATAATAAGTTATAAAAATGGGTATAATAATTTGATATAAGTTTGGATAAGAAGTTACAATATATAACAGAATTAAGTCATAGAATATCAAGGAGTGGTATGGAGATTGTGATGCTATTTTAGAGAGTACTGAAACTACAGTCAATTGTTTTGGTCCACATGGAGTTTGTTGAAGTGATTTGTGTCGATTGAGAATTGGTAAAAAAAAACACGAAGGGATTATTTGATGTGAGTACTTAGAAGTTTCTAACGTTATAAATGTATTAAATCAAATCAAATCAAATCAAATTTTATTGGTCACATGTGCCGAATACAACAGGTGCAGACATTACAGTGAAATGCTTACTTACAGCCATTAACCAACAGTGCATGTATTTTAAACAAAAAAAGTAATAAAAAAAACAACAACAAAAAAAGTGTTGAAAAAAAAAGAGCAGAAGTAAAATAAAATAACAGTAGGGAGGCTATATATACAGGGGGGTACCGGTGCAGAGTTAATGTGCGGGGGCACCGGCTAGTTGAGATAGTTGAAGTAATATGTACATGTGGGTAGAGTTAAAGTGACTATGCATAAATAATTAACAGAGTAGCAGCAGCGTAAACTTGCGTTAACTTGCTCACCCAAACGTAGACGTACGTTATGGGTGGGGAAATAATGAATAAGTGTTTTATAAGTTGTACCGTTGTGGGATCATGTGATAAAGATAAGGTTTAAGGAATAAACTGACCATAAGTAATGTGGTTATAGACGTAATTTATAAAATAGTACAAAGCCAATTTAGGGTTTCCATTAAACTAATTATCAGTGTGGAGCTAAGGTGGTGAAGTAAAGTAACTTCATTTTATTCAGTGGGTAAGATGATAAACCAGTGTAATTGCGCTATTTGTGGGATTTATTTGTCATTTCAATGGCATAGAGTAAAATCTGTATTTGTGAGTGTAATTCAACTGTTGGTATGGGTTGCTTGAACGGATACTACAGAGTATTTGGTTTGGAGATGTAGAAGGGAAGGTTTGAACATAATCTTGGTAACAAAAGAAAGGTAACACATGTCAGATGTATCTTGAAGTGAAATAATTAATGTGGGTATTACTGTGTCAGAGTACATGAAGCTAGAACACAGCATAAATTGGGAGGTTTTGATTCCGCCTGAAAGTAACTTCAGGTTTTATAGGGAATGCTTTATTGGACTTACACAGCTGCAGCCCCTAAACACTATGGGACCATAGCCCAATATCTGATGAGTACTTCTGTGAGGTTTGATGCCAATAAAGTAAAGTAAACCAAAGTTGTAGGGGTTTTAGTTGAAGTATGTTTAGGCAGATTACCAAATGGAGACATTTGGGTAGATTTGGGCACCATCAGTGCCATTTGACTTTTATTAAGTACCAGACAGCAAAAGTCATTTAATTTCACTAACATATCACTATATGTGTACATTCCATCCAAATACAACTGTTTTGATGTTGTTTCCAATGTTCTCCGAGACCTCTATACATGTTCCCATTAAAATAAACCATACAATGGGAAAGTTTGACTCCAAACTGAGCAGATTTATTATAAACTATAAACAACAAATTTAAAAACAAAAAGTCCACACATCCCAAAACTATAAACAATGATATGGTGTCCTTGGGTGGGTTGTCACACAAAATGTAGACCCTTTTTACCCTAAAACTTGCTGTTGTGCCAATCCTTGAAACAGTTACGCTTTGATGTAAGGCACAAAGGGACTTGGCACTTCCTGCAGTACACAGGTGTTTTCACTTTGGGGATGCCAACATCCAGACATCTCCTACAGTTCTTCCTCTTTGCTGGCATAATCACCATAGTATTCTGGCATGCAGGATGTTGGTCGTGGTGGAGTTTGTGGTTCAGACTGTTTAGCAAAGCTCACCATTTCTGTGAGTAGCTTTTCCCTGAACTTCTTGTGTGTGTATGGCTTAGTGGGGTTGTTCTTATGGAGTTATTTGTGAAGTAGGAAACTATTTACAACAGCAATATCAACAAAATGAAAAAGAAAAGTCTTATACCATTTCATCGTCTTGTGGTGAACACTGTAGTATCCAACCAATGCGTCGGATAAATCCACTCCACCCATGCTCCGGTTGTAGTCGGCTACCGCATCTGGGACGGGCACAGTTTTAGTCTGCCATACACCACCCTATTTTACCTTCCTTTTGACAGTTTGTCCACTAAATGCTTAATGTACAGTAGAGCACATGGTTACCGCACGTGTGTCCATACATTTTACAAATAATACATTTCCTTTGCGTATCCACCTCAAATCTCCGCTTTCTGCTTTTTTTGCCAGGTTGTTCCTTTTGGTTTGTGGGAAACCAATCCTGTTCGTTCTAATTGTCCCACAGGCACCAGTGTTTCTTCTACGTAGTTCCTTAAAAAGGGCAGGGCTAGAATAGAAATAGTCTACAAAAAGTGTATAGCCCCCACCAAGTAGAGGGAATGGTATCAAGTCCATAACTGAAGTGTAGCTTAGTCCCTGGCCTGGTGTGAACACACTATTGCCTTCATAAACAAAAACAATCCACGTATAAGCAGTATGAGAGTTAGCCAGTACAAATAATTTATACCCCACTTAGTGGGCTTTGCTTTCATATATTGCTGCATACTTATTCTCGCCTTGGATGCCACCATCCTTTCGTCTATGGAGATGTTTTGGTATGGCTGGAAATGTGATTTGCAGACATTGGTAAGCTCAGTGTACAGGGGCTTGATCTTGAAAAGTCTATCATACTCTGCAGTGCCTTTTTTAGTGTTGTTGGCTTCATCGTCTTCTGGTTTGCTTAAATGCAGTGACCACATGATTGCTTCAAAACGGTCTCGTGTCATAGTGTCTCCAGGGAAGCAGAAATTATATGGCCATTCCTTCCTCCAGTAGGTGCCCCTTTCGTGTACAGAGACAAGCCCTGAGTATAGCAGAATTGCCAGTAAAATGTACAAATCTCTCATCGTTAGTGGTATCCAAGCGAATTTCAGTCCGGACTGCAGTCTTTTGGCAGCATTTGCATTAGTGTTGCAAATTATTGTGCGGACAACCGAAGTGCTAAAAAACAGTTGAAAGAGTGAAAGGGGAGACCATGACGCAGTGGTGTCGATTGTGGGGCCTGGGACTCTGGTGGGCATAAACCGGATTGGGTCTGGTTGTTCATCATTCTCTTCTCTATTATGCCACCTATCTTCTTCTTCCTCTTCTTCCTCCCCGACTCTTGGAGTGGCAGGCCTACCTCTACCACACTTACTTGGATGCACTGACTTTGAGAAAGCTTTCCCTTTTCTTTTGGGTTGAGGGCTCTTTACAGGGGACTCAATGTCAGATGAAGACCGTTGCCGAGGGAGGGGAGCAGAAGTGCATCGTCTAGACAAGCGGCCAGGCTGAGGAAGAGCAGGCTCTGCCTGAGGAAGGGGAAGCTGTGGCTGAGGAGGCAGATGCTCTGGCTCATCACCCCTATAATCCTCACTGTGCAAACAAGACAATAGAGAAAAGAAAATCATGACTAAAACACACTTGTATTTATTCATTGACAAATCTGACTCAAAACAGTCAGATATATAAAATAAATAGAACTATGAGAATGTTGACTAAAGTGATATTTCAGTGACAAGAAATAATACACATAGCATTCTATTGTAAGTAAACTTGCGTGTGGGCTTACGTTGAGCTTCAGTTACTCAAATAGATATTTTAGAATGTATGTTTTGTACTCATACAATAAATTAGTAATAGTAGTATTAGAAGTAATAAATAACAATGGGATTACATACTCTTCTGATGCTTGAGTAGGGCCCTGGACACGACAACCTTCGTTCTCCTCGTTGGGGTCTGGTTCGTCCGGTCTAAGCAGGTCCTCATCGTCCGATTCAGAGTCAATGGGGATACATGGAGTCCAACTTTCATCTGTTACAATTAATAACGCCTCTGTAACTGTATATTTGTTACTAGAGCCTGCCATATTTTTATAAACTTTGCGTTTTACCTCCGAAATTCAAGTGCTGTTGTGCGCTCTGCGTAATCGTGCGTAATGCAGCAAGTCAACTAATATGATACAATGAGGTGCGCACTTGGATATTTCAACAACGGGTTGGTCGATTTTGACATGTGACCCCTCTATCAAAAGCTCTGGATCAGTATAATTAAATTAGCACAATTACAAGCCACTGGGATTGCATCATATATCCATAAGATTGCGACAAAACAGTGCCTGTTGTGATTGAAACAAACTACTGACTTCATCTTCAAACACATTGTTGGCCATGTAAAACGATGGAAACTCATTGAAATCGACTTGGAATGAGAGAGAGACACTAGAGTATCTTTTCAAGTGGTTTTATTCGATCAGACACTACTTTTGGTAACAAAAACAACAAAGTTAAGACGCAGTTTGTTGTTGTGATAAAAAAAAGGATGTTTGTTATTGACGTTCTTTGATTAATAGTTTAGTAAGTGTTGGTAATAGAGGAACACGGCTATCACTGTTGGAATATGTGAGGTAGCAGCTTTCGAATGGTGTATCTTTTGTGTAGATAGGTTGAGAAAAATACGTTATCTGTCTACGAATATACGGGCATGCACGGTTTCAAAAAACAGTACTGATTTTGCTATATGCTTATATATTTGCTTGGAGTCTGAATATTATTTCATTTGGGCAACAACAGTTTAGCTAGATTCACAGTTGAGACGCTTCTCGTTCCAGTAGTGTATAACATTCAGGTATTCACACATGTTTAAATACCGTACTACGTCATTGTTTGCAATTGCGGGAGGAGTACCCTGGATATGGGGAACCTCGGGCTGAAGAGGTTAAACAAACACTAGGGATAATGTAGCATTGTTGGAAGGAAGCAGAGTATGAAAGACTGAGGAATATGGCAACTTTTGGTTGAGGTCACTACAGAAGAATTATGGACATACTATCGTAAAAAAAAAAAAAAAAATTGGTCATTTAGCAGACGCTCTTATCCAGAGCGACTTACAGGAGCAATTAGGGTTAAGTGCCTTGCTCAAGGGCACATCGACAGATTTTTCACCTAGTCGGCTCGGGGATTAGAACCAGCGACCTTTCGGTTACTGGCACAACGCTCTTAACCACTAAGCTACCTGCCGCCCTATATATCGTAACAGATAAACTGAACCAAACATGACGTTACTACAGCAATTTAGGATGGTTAATGTTGTTACGTTAGTTTTTAAACGCTACGATAGAGGTAAATGCAGAACACTGTTTGAGGATATGTTTTATTTTGTCTACTAGTAAAAATGGAAGAGTTTCCATGCTTTTGTCTGCGGGTGTTAGCCATTGGGGGCTCGCTGAAATGTAAGAGAGCTGTAAGGGACATTATGGGTTACGTTTGGTGTGAAAGGGCTAACTAGTTAGTGGTGAGAACTAGTGGCGTTTAGAGTGGTGACGTAACTTGCTATGCGACGTGGAAGTAGTTGTTTAACTTGCTTTGCAAGGACTGTGGATTTTGTGGAGCAACGGGTAATGGTGTTTCGATGGTGAATGTTGTCGATGTGTGTAGAGGGTCCCTGGTTCAAGCCCATGTAGGGAAGGAAGCAGAAATGTTACATTGATGATGTTGACGTGAATTACTGGTTTCATTGATATAATTATACGAACGAGATTGTCTTACCAACACATAGCGGATAGTATAATATAGTAATTAAAGTTGCATCTCTGTGAATAGATGTTTTGTTTGTTTTGACTTATAATAAATAAATAAATAAATAATTTGTCATATGTTGAAGTACCGTTAGATGGAAAGTCAGCGGTAGAGAATAATATATATTGTTGTGGGTTTTCTGTGTTAGAAGGATAAGGAGGTTAATTGGGTGATGAGAAATGTTGACTTGGATTGTTTGAAGAAGGTTAAGTAGGATCATTGGGAGATGTGAAATGTTGAACTTAATTGTTTGAAGACGGTTATGTAGGTTTATTGGGAGATGTGAAAGGTTGACTTGGATTGTGTAATAGACTTGTATTAAAATAATTATTTATATTTAGGTGAATGAAAATATGTTGTTAAGTAGTGGTTTGTGGATAGAATTTACTAATGACATGATTTAGTAAGAGGATGAAAAAGACAGTGGTGATAGTTGGGCTATATATTGGGATATAAAGGACGCAGAGGGTGATGTGAAGCACATATCTAGATAGTTGAATATAGAATGTTCTTTGATATTTTTTATTATGATTATTCAATTCTAAAGTTTGTTTAAACAACAAGGAGTTATGCAGACAGTTCATTAATTCTAAAAACGATAATCTATTTATGGTATGTTGAACAATGGGAGATAGTTGTTACTATTAGGCTGATGTATTAGTAATTATTTTTTGTAATTTATGAAGTTATTAAACAATAGGTTGTTATTTTAAAACATCAATGCAACAGGTTGCGATGATTAAATTACTAGAAAGGGGTTATAGGTTTATATTAGAAGGTGTAGTGAACTTAATGAAACGTGGTATTATCTGATGTGTTTTGAGGTGGAGTTTTTTTTTCAAGATTGATGGAAATCCCCTACAGTATATGTTAAGGGAAAGTAGGAGACAACGTATCAAACATTTAAAAAATAGATGCCTGGGATTAAATATCACGTCTTACTTACGCGGAGTAAATGATTATATTGGCAAATGAATGAAATGACATTTACAGGGGTGACAGGAACAATATAAGGGGAAACAGATATTTCCTATGTTGTTGATCAAGTAACGATAAAGGATAATTTGATATGGAATCACATGGAGCAGATTTAGGGCTTCAATAATCATTATGAGATTTAAAGAGGATATGGTCTGAAGGGTAATCAATTAAAAATACTCATTATAAACTCAAAGAACTTTGAGTGGTTTTCATCTTTAGAGAGATTTTATATAATCTTCGTTTGGAGTAGTTATGAGGAATTACATTGACACAAACGATTATTGATGAGATAGGACAGTGTATATCTGTTCATGTTTTGTGTGAAATTACTATCTTTGGATTACTGATTGTAATTCAATATTAATAAAATTTATAATTTCTCTTCCAGGAGAAAGGCGATTTCCTTATTTCTTATTGGAATGTTGCCCAGGGCTAAGGGGAGAAGTTAGTAAAGTTAGGCGTTATTAGGTCGTAAAAGGGAGCTACCAACTTAACTAAGGCCTGGCTATTTTTGTATGTTCTTTTCCAATAGGGTTTTTCAAATAAACTCACAACCCACCTATTACAAGGTTTATAAAGGGTTGTTATTTTGATTTTAGTTTTTTTTTGACAGGTCAAAGTTGATAGGTCTTAAAGTGGCACAAAATTAATTTTATGAAGTTTTTTTCTTTTTTGAGTGAGTTTTGGTTACAAACGTGATTTCTTATGAGAAGGAATGTCATGAGGACTTAATGTACACTTGGGATACATAACATTTATGAAATGGTTTGACTGTTGTTAATGATTAGTCTACTATAGAATGGAGCAATTCTTTGAAGGGTTTCAATGACCTCTGAACTCTGTCCTGACTTTCTAGTGTGAATTGATCACCCACACTGGAAATCCTAGGGGCATGAGATGAGGAATTTAAGGTGATTTATAATACAGAATTGGGGTTTATTTATAAAAAGGATAATTGTGAAGAAGTTTATAATTTGGTAATAAAATGTATGATTCGGACCATGAAAAGAAAAGAGAGAGAGATCTATCCCTGGATAAGGGTTACCTGGAGCTAGTCAATTGTACTATTCTTGAATTACTTTACGGGATAAAAGTAAGTTAAGCTATTATCAAATATGGTCATTTCAATTTCATTTATTATTTTGGTTTAATAGGCAATGTTGGTGTTTTGTTTTTGAAAGCATGAATCACGTTGCGAGTCATGTGTTCAAAAGGGGGTAGTACTGATGGTATGAGGATTTATTGGTACATTTGCATAGTGTATTAGGAATATGAGCAGTAGTAATTAATGTGTTATGGGTTAGATTAAATGTTTTAGGTGAAAATGTATTTGTGGTCTATGAAACTAGTGACTATAACAAGCTGCAAGAATGTGCACTTCCTAATCAAGGCTTATCATGACTGATAAGAAGACAGTGTAAAGTAGCATACTGTGTCTCACCTAACAATGTTCTGAATACTTTCTTTCAAAAGGTGAAGGTTTCTCTGCCAACCTAACAGGATAATCTGGGCATTTTCTGATTTGGAGACTGTGTGGCAGTAAAGGATTAAAGAAGTAAGAGCTGGAAAGAATCTAGGTGGAGAGGTTAGTAATAGGTGTTGCTGGCTACCTCGTTGGAAGGGAAAGTAGTAGATACAGATTTGTGCATCTATTTGTCCCACTGTAGGAGGTAATCAAAATCAGAGGAGGAAGATGGAACTGCCACTGTGGAGCATTGTTTTTGTGTTTGTGTCTATGTCTGTTTGTCGTTGCAGCAGTGAATCTCGACTTCCCTATTGGTGCGATGCAAGAAGGACACACTACACAGAGCGATGTGAATAGAAATTGGGAAGTATATCAGAAATTGGTATTAAGAATAATTGTTAAAACATGATCATTTGTTATATAGTCAATGATTATATGGATTTATTGGATTAGAGATTAAATCAATTAAACTGTTATGTTTGTCTTCTAGTGAGGTAAATACAGATGGTGTCTTGATGCATAGCAGGAATAATTTGGCCTAGAATGGTGTGAACCTAAATGAAAGAAACAACCTATGAACCGGCTGAAAATGAATATCAGAGGCGTTGAAGATATTTCTGTAAAGTACCACTTCTACATGCAACTGGTGTACAACAGCCAATCGAAGCTATCAATGGATTTTCTCATGTTTTTATATCAAGGGAGTGTGGACAGGAGTCCACCATTGAGTGAGAATGGAGAAGGATATGTTCAGATACAACATTTTTAATGTTGTGGGCGTAATGGTTGGCAAATGGACAAGACAATTAGGTTGTAGAGTTGGTGGTGAGTCGGATGAGACATTGT